GTGAACGTCAATTTAGACTTTTATACTTTCTTCTAAAAAACTAGCCGGACTAGCCGGAGGGGGCGGGAGCGGGGGCGGCAGTATGAGAGTGAGTCACCATATAAGAAGTTCAAATTGAGCACTTTTGGATGTCGTAGATATTATGATAGTGATCGACGATTTAGAAGTTTTAGGCTTTTAGGATCTGCTAACTATCCTATAACATCCATTGCCGTTGCTCGACTTGAACTTCTTGTGTGATGACTCACTCTCATACTGCCGCCCTCGTCCCCTCCGGCTTCGGCTAGTTTTCTAGAAGAAAGTCTAAAAAGTCTAAATTGCCGTTCACCACCATAACATCTATAACATCCAAAATTTGCACCATCACACCTTCCTCTAGATTCTGGATCTATGAAATATTTCGGTTCTAACTACTGAGGATGATATGTTAACATGTCGAAACGTTTAGTTATTTTTATTAATAAATACGAAGGGAAAAGTTCAAAGATTTTTAACTAAATTATTAACTTCGTAAACAATTATGGCGTTAATTATAAGATATTCATATTCGAGGAGGAAAAATATGTAATTACTACTTTTCTCAGCAGGAAAACATCCTAGATGTAACAACAGCCTAGGGACGGGCTGACATTTCGTTCGTATGACCCTTAACTGGGAAGTCTAAGATCATATGAACGAAATGTCAGTCCGTCCGTCCGCAGTTAAACACGTAATCCCTACTTTTCTCAGCAGGGAGANCAGCAGGGAGACACAGCTACGTTGTGTTTTCGGTTATTCCGTGTTTTAGCCATATGGACCGCAAAATTATAAAATGTGAACGTGCTTATAGCTGAATTATGATGCAGTACGTGTTATGCAAGTTGAGCCATATTTCACTTAAAAATACAGCTTGAAATATTTCTGTGAAATATTAATAGTTATTTATTTGGCTAAGATAAAATGATTTTCATATCTCAAATGACTTTTTGAATAAAATATCTGGAACAAAGTATAGTCGATGCTGATAATGACTAGTATGATATTCAATGCTACTGCTAAGTCTTTGTAGAATTTATCTTCGAAATCTGGCTCTGTAGTGTTCGAAGTATTTTTCCAAACCCATTTCAGAATGGGTATACATTAGTTGCGGTTACTCTAACTATAAAAACTGCAGAACTGCAGAATGTCGAAAAAGAAAATCCATGTATTTTTGCTCAAGATTTGTGTCATGTTCTTTTATGGGTTTTCGGATAAGCGCTAGTTAGAAATATTTTAAGCTGTATTTTTAAATGAAATAAGGCTCAACTTGCATAACACGTACTGCATCATTGCAAATTCAGCCATAAGCAGGTTCACATTTTATAATTTTGCGGTCCATATGGCTAAAACATGGAATAACCGAAAACACAACGTAGCTGTGTCTTCCTGCTGAGAAAAGTAGGAATTACGTATTTAACTGCGGACGGACGGACTGACATTTCGTTCATATGATCCTAGACTTCCTAGTCAAGGATCATATGAACGAAATGTCAGCCCGTCCCTAGGCTGTTGTTACATTTAGGATGTTTTCCTACTGTTTTTGCAGTTTTTACAGTTATAGTAACCGCAACTGCTGCATACCCATTGTGAAATGGATTTGGAAAAATACTTTGAACGCTGCAGAGCCAGAGTTCGAATGCAAATTCTACAAAGACTTTTCACTTCTTGTCACTTATTTAACTGGTGATCGAAAGAAAAGAAAAGTGAATAAAAGTTCCATTGGCATAGTAGCGACCTGGTTAAACCGATAAAACCTGCTGCCACGGTTCGTTAAGTTTCCTGTTAACATATACTGTAGACCTTTTCAAGGCGTGTCGAATGATGTATTGCACTAGGCTTAATGTTCGATAGTTACGAAGCATTTTGGATTTTACAGTTATACTGTTAGTGCTAAATCGTTGCTTGTTTTGAAATAGATTTTATCAGGTATATTCGACTGAAAGCGCTCGAAAGGGTAGCGATTCTGGGATATGATGATCGGATGTGATTCTGATGAATTTCGTACCGATTGGAGGGGCTAAAGTTAGTGGAGCATTTCATGTCTTATGTGGACCCCACCTTACCTAAAAGGAAATCTTGCTAAATAAAATGCAAACAGAATAGTGGCTTAAAAGAAATTTTTGAAAAAGTCGAAAAGTCGCGATTAAAAGGTAAAGTAAAACATAACAATAAGGGGAGCTAGAGGATTGTTATCAGCGATTACGCAGATTCTTGTCGACATGGTTGTAGTTAAACAAATAATAAATATGAAGAAAAAAGTAAGTGTTGAGATGTTCACTGTGTTCTCATATTGAACATGTATGGTTTAGGTTGTCACAGCTCTAAGTAAATTAGAATCTGTACCACCATTCTCCGAATTTGTAAAAGCTTTTGATCCGTGCAGCAATCAAATGATTTTAGCTTATTTAACTGGCGATCGTCAAAATGTAGGAAGTCTGAAAAACGGATTTAGTAATAAATACTCACGAAAGGATCTGAAAGATAAACGACGACGATCTCAATTATCAGCTTCTCGAACAATCTTAGAACAATGCTTATTCTGACTTCATCTAAAGTATGATTTCTATTCAACTGGCGTAGAACAATGAAACACATGTTTTGTATTGTAGACTTATATTAGGCATACGAAATGTATACATGCGAGAAAATGTCGTGAGCTTGTTTATACACAAGTGCGTCGAGCATTTGCCACATGAACCAAAATCCAGTTAGACTTTTTCTTAGAATCATATGACCTACCTATCAGCAAAATATCAAGCAAAACAGCGTCAGGCACTTGACGAGGTTCTCTCGTTAGTTTAAAACTAATCGAATGGTTATAAAAATAGTTTGACATGTTTAACTTAATATGCTGAACGTAATGATTGACTTGAAAAGCCCAAATCCAATTGAAATATTTCATGTTTTGGTTTTCAAATGTTTCCAAACCTTTGAACCAACATAACCCAGCAGCCAAATAATACATAGAGATTACATCAAGAAGCACATCAAAAACTTATTGAAGGATTACAACGATTGAGCATTTATGTTGTCAAATTACGTAAGAGAATGCACGTGCATAGAGTACACATCCGTAATGACTTATAATGGCATAGTGAGAGCATTAAACTGCAATACAATTGCATTTTGAAGGCACCATAGTGCATTTATTACACTAAAATTTTTGACCTAAGAAGAAAAATAAGATTGTCTTTAACGCACTATGAATGGTTTTTTAAAAAATGCATCATTTTATTCACAGGCCAATGAATAAAAATAATAAACACGACCTTTCAGTTATATCTGTCTGACGCTAAAGAAATCGATATTTTATTTTTTTCCCATATTAAACTGTCTGAGGGTGTGTTCTATGGATAGGAATTGATTGAATTTGTCGCTATGTGAAAGGTAAGGTTCAGCTAATGCAAAATTCAAATGGAATTTTGTTTTGACTTTATTATACATATTTAGATTCAGTTTAACGAGCTGATTACGAATAACACCTTCCGAGCCTCCAAAAGTCATTTCTTCGTGGAGTAAAACTCAAATTACTG